AACAACAGACATGACGCTTCAGACGAGCAGAACTGCATTGATGCATCCGTCGTTCTCGGGGTTGTTCGTCACCTGGGCGTACTTTCCCCAAACGACTTTGCCTCCCTGGGTCACCAGGCCAAGTTCGCTGATGTTCACCTCGATCACTGTACCCTTGGTGATCACGCCCAGGCCCGTGTACATGACGCTGCTGGGGTTCTTCTTGACGCCAATAATCGGCAGACAGAATGTGGCCTTCAGTTCCGGATGTGTCACGTGCGCTTTCTTGAAACGCAGCGCCATCGGCCGGATGAAACGCTCGAATTTGGGAGGCTTCCGCGTGAAGCCCTCACCAACGAACGTCACCTTCGTCACCATGCGCTTCCACGCCTTGTTTTTCCGCTTGCCGGTCTTAATGACCTTGAAGACCTCGGCCTCGGATTGCGCCTTGACCTTGGGCAGGGGCACTTCCCATTTACCAGCCTTCTCCTTCCGCTTCTGTTTGATCATGTTGCTAAGGACCTTAGCGTGACTCTGGCCCTCGCGGTCTAACAGATACGCCGGCAACGCGCCGTCAGGGGTCTTCTCCTGGTCCTTCTTTTTGGTCTCCTTCTCTTGGTGCGCCTTGAGGGTCTTCTTCATCTGTATTTTCTCCGACATTCGCTCTTTGTTGTACAGCTTTGCCTTAAGGCCACGCAGCTTCTGTGCCTTTTTGGAACGTTCTCGAGGTTCGCGCGCCTCCTTCTTGCGCAGCCGTTCGTGGTAGTCCATGCGGTAGCCATACCGCTTGCGGTGCAGCTCAATGTGCTCGTTCTGCGGCATGGCGTTGCACTTGGGGGGGAAAGGCCTCCGCGGCTCACACGCACACACCAGCTGCCCCTGCAACACGGGCGACAACGGTGTAAGAGGTGGCAGCTGGTGTGTGCGCGAGGCCAGCTGAAAAGGCAGCAAGGAGACGGACCTGCTCTCTTGCACTCATTAAGACGAGCAGGAAAACAACCAGTGCGGGTTTCATCTTGCCAGATGCGCAACTTTTGAGCATCGTCACTAATTATTTTCAACACAAACGCACGAAACGGTTGACGCGTTGATATTAAAATCAAACGTGAAGACCATTTTAGGCCACCTGTTCCTGCTAACATCGTAAAAGCCTCACATCCCCATTTTGTATGTATACATTTTAAAGGATTAGAGAGGGGGGAGAAAGAGAGAGAGAGAGAGAGAAAAGAGAGAGAGGAGAGAGGAGAGGAGAGAGGAGAGGAGAGAGGGAGAGAGGAGAGGAGAGGAGAGAGGACAGGAGAGAGGAGAGGAGAGAGGAGAGAAGAGGAGAGAGGAGAGAGGAGAGAGAGAGGAGAGCGGAGAGAGCGGAGAGAGAGGAGGAGAGAGGAGGGAGGAGAGAGGAGAGAGGCAAGAGGAGAAGAGAAAGAAAGGAGAGAAGAAGTCACTTCAGATTACCCTCCAAAAAAAAAATGCTGCTGCCAGAATCATGGCTCTCCACCTCACATCCTCACATCTACACCCAGCCCACCCACAATTTGTTGACACTAATACTACCCCAGCCATTTGACCTTGAACCCGCAGACATCTAAATTATTTATCACCATCATTATCAAGCCTAAGGCACTTAATGCTGGACTGACTGCCATCCTGTTCAGAGCTGATTATCCAACTTGGTGCAAAGGGAGGGGAGCAATGATGACAGTGAACCCCTAGCAACTTTTTGTTAATGTTTCCAATAGATTGTATTATTCAATACATCTAACAATCTAACACTGACCAAGAAACCAGCTTCAGAAAGGACATGTTATGAACCTTTGCCACATTAAATAAAAATGTTGTTATTATATATAATATTTCTTTATCATTGTTATATCATATCTTATATCACATCATCATATATGCTATATCTATTATTTATCAGTCCCATAACCTTGCAGTGTGGGGTTGTCTGCAAACTAATTTCAGATGGTTTGGGCCATCTTGATGATCTTTTATCATAATGCAGGTTACAACTGAGAGGCATGGGACTCAAACTGAGAGGGATGCTGCAGACAGGCTAAGACAGAAGCTTATTGGCATTCCTTCACAACACTTTCCTTTTGGTGCACCCATGGTCTGACCCTGCCCACTAACACAATACACCTACCAACAACCTAGCAGACAGCACTTAACTGGCAAACCACATATGAACAATCCTCAGACTAAGCACTTAGTGAACCTGACACAAACATCACTCCAAACAAGACCACCTCCTGACAGCACATTCACAGCACAGAGCACAGGGAGAAACAGAGAGTAAAGTGCAGGGAAAAACAAATATCTTGTCTTTGCACAGTCATAGTGCTCCATGATGGCATATCTTTGTTGGCAAACAAATATGCAACATACTCCTTAACTACATGCATGAAAAAGTGATATGCTAGGTATATATGCATCACTGCTTCACCAAATAACAGCATACAGCATATGTTAAATACTATCCATGACAACTGCCTGGGTGTGCCACGTCAATCCGGCAAACATCTCCAGCTCATGAGGCAGATTCAGCACTGGAGAGAATGAATATGTTCTACTAAGAAATACAACAGCTTCTCTAGCCTCTATCTATACAGCTTCCCTCTAAATGTTTACAATCTGTTCAAGGCATAAGTGGAAGCTATTCTCATATTTACATCATCACCATGACCCAGTGGTGGTGCATGGGTAGGTGTCCATCTGCCATAAGGTGATAGGGCATGTGGTTTTCTATGAATGTTTGTAGCATCCTTGGCAATTAATGTGGTTCATTGTCAACAGTATGTTAAATCATGTTCAAGTGTGAGTTGGTCTGCATAGGGCATACAAAGTGAGAGCTTGCTAACCTACAGACCAGTGTGATTCTGCTACTCATTTCTCAGTATTGTTCAAGGGTGATCCCATTCAACATTTACATGCTTTGTTTCTAACATTTGCATACATGGTTCATCACATATCTAGATGGCAACACAGGCTGCTTGCTATTGGGCATCTTTGTCTGGTGGGTGCAAGATTTGTGCTCTTGCAGATATCAATACATGGCCCATGCTGGAAGCAGCAATTCTCAATCTGTTGCATGCTCCAATTTTATTTTGTCCTGACGCAAAGAGGCAAATGAGTTGTTTGTCTCCAAAGCTGTTCTTGTTGCATTATGATGGAGTACAAAAATATTTCATTTCACCTAGCCACAATCCCAGAGTACAAAATCTTCTGCTACATTATACCAAGAAATGCAGTTTTTCAACACTGTGTTGCACAATGTACAATGGCATGACTAAAAACTAGTGCATAAGGAGCCATTATACTGCAGAGCAATCACATCACACTGCTTGTTTTGTTTATCGGTGTTTTCAGGCACATCAGCTGCACTGGTCATTTGCACCCTCGTATACACATTTTGTCATACCTGATGCTGGCTTCAACATTTTTAAGCATGAACATTTCCTTTAAGTGAGAAACTACCTTGGATGGTAAGTAGCTGCACTAACCCCTAAGTGCCAAGGCTCTTAGTTACATTCAGTGCATTGCATAACATATAAATCACTAAGTTGGCCTCACATGAATCATGGAATTACAAAACAGGTCTACAACACTTCAAGTCAGTTCCTATCAGCCTTAGTTGAGACCCAACCCTTCTTCCAGATTAAAACTGGCAATAGAAA